CTCTGTTGACCACCCAGCTCCACCAGTTAAATATTGCTTGGTTAGCAGAGTACAGTGCACCTAAGACGGGATGATCCAAGTGTACGCAAGTGCTCTGTACCTCTTTATCAAATTTCCATCTGTAATAGCAATTCTTCACATAAAACACATCACTGCCATATAAATAAATCAGAAAAAAGTGCAGCGCTAAAAAAAAATATCATAGAACAATAAAATTAAGGAAAATTACTCTCTACGCTTTTGCGTTATTCTGAATGAGAATAAATAATGAGTGACTAAAGTGAACAAACAACAATGGATAATGCAATAGGTGAAGCGCTCTATGGCAGTGCTATAGTGAAGTAAAAAAACAATAATATGCAAAAATATATAATGTGGTGCTGAGATTGCAGCTTAATGGTGACAAATATCATGACTGTAGTTGTAGTGATGCAAATCAACAAATGAAACAAGGTGAAGCAAATCTGAAACAAATTACAAAACCAATAATCAATAGTGTAAATAAAGTCCAAAAGAAGATCGTGACATCCAGTGATAAATGATTCCGTGATAGTTTCTTCTTTATAATGCACTCACCAGAAGAGCATAAAAAATGCACATAGAAAGCAGTGGTAATAATATCCTCCAGAACAAGTCAACCTATTTCACCGTCAGGCACAGATATGAAGCTGTCATACATCAGAAATGGGAGATACCTCCAAAAAACATTTGTACTCAGCATGAGAATTAGCCACACCTTGAAGGGAAAAGCTCACAAAATAGCCCGGAGAGAGAAATCTCTAATGGTATAATATTTTTATTAAGATAATGAAAGCATCCACGTGGAGCATAAAACAAAGGTAAAATCACTTACAAAGATGGTCGCTGGACCATCGTATGGACATGGCGGCATGACGTCAGCACGTAGGCTTCTTCCTGATGCGTTTTGAGCACACGCACATTATCAAAGGGATCCGCGGAGGATTCACTTCACTATAGCACCGCCATAGAGCGCTTCACCTATTGCATTATTCATTGTTGTTTGTTCACTTTAGTCACTCATTATTTATTCTCATTCAGTATAACGCAAAAGCGTAGAGTCATTTTCCTCCATTTTATTGTTCTACGATTTTTTTTTAGTGCTGCACTTTTTCTGATTTATTGCTATTGAGGATATAGAGGGTTGTCCTGTTTGTGCTAGTGGCTGTTCTTACTTAATCCCTACCTGTGCGCTCACTGTCATTTTCCATTTTTCACTGTCATATAAATGCCACAGCTTGGATAAATAGGGGTATTGCACACTAAGATAATGGTATGGTATTCATTCACACCTCCTTCATGACCAGGCCATTTTTTTTTTGCTATTCAGCACTGCACTACTTTAACTGGCAATCATGCGGTCATGCAAATAGAGCTTTCTTTTGGTGGTATGTGATCATCATTGGGATTTTTATTTTTTGCAATATAAGATTAAAAAGACCAAAAATTTTGAAAAAAAATTTTTTTTTTACCTTTTGGTATAAAACATATCCATTAAAAAATTAAAGGAAAAAACAAATGTCTTCATAAATTTTGGCTAAAATGTATTCTGCTACATGTCTTTGTTAAAAAAAACCCAATAAGTGTATATTGATTGGTTTGCGTGAAAGTTACAGCATCTACAAAGTATGGTGCATACATTGATTTATTTTTTATACTATTAAACGCGGTGATCAGTGAATTATACTGGGGCTGCGGTAGTCCCAAGGCAATCTGACACTAACTGTGTGTGTGTGTGTGGGGGGGGGGGGGGTAACTGACTAACTGCCACTGACATCACCAGTGGCATTAATACAAAGTTCAGTGATAATACTATACACTGTCACTGTACTAATGACACTGGCTGGAAAGGGGTTAATATCTAGGGCGCTCAAGCGATTAAATATTTGTATAACTATGTGCAATATGTGTACAGTATGCTGATTTTACCAAGAGATCTCTTTGGTTTTTTGTTATCCCTGCTCTGCAGGGATGAGAAGCAGAGAGATTGTTCCCTCTGTACAGAGCCCTATGTTGATTTTCAACACAGGGCTCTGGGCTGTGATTGCACACAGCCGATCAGTAGGTCCTGGCCATGAACCAATGGCTGGGACTTGCTGGCAGACACAATCACAGTGGGTGCACGCTCCCTATACCTGGAAGTAGGCAGCAATGTACCAGTATATCGCTGTGTCTGCATGGGCTACCCATCAACAGTACAGTGCGGACGAGTAGTCCAGAAGCAGTATATTCTATACTGCTGGTTGTGTACCACACATGCTCTGTAAATCCTTTAGAATATTTTTTTTATTTTTTATAACAAAAAAAGGAGCCCGTAGCTCATTAAAAGTGACAACCCACTTTGGAGAATGTTTGACCAATCTGGTTGTTTACAGGATGATTTGATAGGCCCTTCCACAACCATGCCCAAGCCTGTCTGGTCCTATATTTCCCATTAGACAGCTTATTTTAACAAACAACAAGTTCACCAGATGCAAAGTTGAATGCTTGTAAAAAAAATTATTTAGAAAGATCTTTGGTAGATGGATCACACATGGCTAGCTTGCCCCGATGTAGTGCCCCTAGAAAGTTTTACTTTTAAAGGAATGTTGATGATTTCTTTTAATATCTCACATCTACTTGGATGAATTAGTTTTAAAGAATGAGTTATGCTAGCCATACACAGCTTGAATTATAGCCATTTCCTGTGGAATCAAGTAGATTGCTAACTGGGGGTGGCCCATCTGCAATACTTCAATCTGAAAATTGAATAATCCAGGCAGAAAATTATTGGTGGAAGAGTGACTGCAGCCAGATGTAGTCACTGTGTTGGTATTCTTACAGCCAAAGGAGTAGTAGTTGTCAAAATACGTTAGGGCCATCTATTGATTTCTCTCACAGCCCACTGGGATGAACAAGAGAAATCTTAACATATTTATTATTACAGGTATTTATATAGCACCATCAATTTACGCAGCACTTTACATATATATTGTACATTCACATCAGTCCCTAACCCTCAAGGGGTGTACAATCTAAGGTCCCTAACTCACATTCATACATACACATACTAGGGCCAATTTAGACAGGAGACAATTAACCTACCAGCATATCTTTAGATAACATACTGTATATGGCTAGCCTTAACTATAGATTCAAATACAACTAAATAGAAACAACTCAGCACATTTCAACACTGATAAGGGCTGAGTTTTTACATAGACGTTAGCTGTTCTGTGATATATAATGAGCTGAGGGCTGTAAACCAAAAGGTGCATACTACTATTGATAATTCAAAGAACACAATGTCCCCTAGCAACTGATTGTATTTTATATTAAATCAGTGAGAACATTGAAAGACAATTACTGATTTTCCTATATGAGTTACTGCTAATTGCACACTACTCTTTGCTTTATTAAAGGATTTCCTGCTTTCAGCTAAATAATGGAAAATCATGTCAACTCAGGTGAAGTATAAAGTCCAACTCATCTGGTCAGTTGTTGCAATACATTCAATGACCACCTATATATATAATGAGAAAATGATAGAAAAAACACCAGAAACCTATCATTGTAGGAACGATGCTGGTTTATTGCTGTTAAGTATTACGTTAATCCCAATTTTCATAAACTAGGCCTTCAATAATACAACAATAGATACAGTACATGCAATTCATTTCGCTACGAATTGAAATTCAAACACAAGTTTTGTTATTAGGATGTATCCAAATCACAATAGTAATGAATTTCACTGAATCTGAAACAAATTATAAGGAAACAAACTATCTGAATTCAAATTTGACAATGAATTTGAATTTCAAATACAATAAAATGGAAAGGATATAGCTATCCTCCAAAATTCAAATTTCAAATAGCATAGAATGAAACAGAAAGAATTTAGCCGTCTTCTGAAATATAAATTTTTCATAGAATAGAATAAAACAGAAAGAATATAGCCGTCTTCCGAAATTCGAATTTCAAATAAAATAGAATAGAAAGAATATAGCTATCCTCCTCCAAAATTCAAATTTCGAATAGTATAGAATAAAATAGAAAGAATTTAGCCTTCTTCTGAAATTCGAATTTTGAATTGAATAGAATAAAATAGAAAGAATATAGCCATCTTTCAAAATTTTAATCTTTTTAATTAAATAGAATCAAATAAAACAAAAAGAATATAGCTGCCTTCTAAAGTTCAATAGAATAGAATACGATACAATAAAATAAAAATAATATAGCCATTTCCAAATTTCGAAATTTGAATTTTCAACAGAATAAAATAAAATAGAAATTATACATTTGAATTTTGAATAGACTAGCATAAAACAGAAAGAATATAGCCGTCTTTCAAAATTCAAATTCCAAATAGAACAGAATAAAATAGAAAACATATAGCCATCTTCCAAAATTCAATATTATAATAAAATAGAAAGAATATAGCTGTTTTCTGAAGTTTGAATTTGGAATACAATAGAATAAAATAGAATATAGCCGTCTTCCAGAATTTGAATTTTGAAATTTGAATTTCCAATTTTGAATAGAATAGAAAGAATATAGCAAATATTAAAATTCAAATTTCAAATAAAATAGAATAAAGTAGAGAAAAAAATATGTCGCCATTTTCTGAAATTCGAATTTCAACATTTTAATTTTAATTTTTATTAAAACGAATAATTTTAACATAACAAATAGGGCGAAATTAAATTATTAACTTAATGAATGAATCCAAATCTAAACAAAATTTTCTCTGCTGTACACATCTCTATATAAAAATACACTATCCTTTCTCAGGATTGGTTGTCCAAGTCTCATTTTGTTGGACTTCTGAGCATTACAACATTTTGCACAGCTGTGATTTACGCATACTGAGTTCTAATAAGCTTTCAGTTTATTCAAATGCACTCATAAATGATAATAATAGCACTCTCATGTAAGCCAACTTGTGTTTGTAGTTAATTGTCCTTTAAATCCTTATAATGTAGGCAACCCTTTTCTCTTTACAGGATGGTGGCTGGAAAAGCAGAGCCTGCAATGCCTGGAAGATTATATGTTCATCCAGATTCCCCGGCAACTGGAGCTCATTGGATGCGACAGCTGGTGTCATTTCAAAAACTAAAGTTGACCAACAACCATCTTGATCCTTTTGGACATGTAAGATAAAATCAAATTCTTTTGATGAGATTGATAAAAGATAGTAGAGTGACAAAATACTCTCAGACTATACCATTTATAATAATACTTACCACTGAACAACTATAGTCTAAAGATTATAATACATGTTGTACAGTGTGCATCTCTATCTTCAAAAGTAATGTTTTGGGACCATTTTTGTTTTTCTCATGTACTGCTTTAAATATTATCTGACAATCTGTTTTAATTCTCTTTGTATAATTTATTTTGTTACAAAGATATATTTTTTAACTATCGCGTTATTATTTTTTTTACATACAGTAAATAGATGAAAATCTTAACTCCCTTTTTGCACTTGTGGTATTTTTTACATTTGAGAAATGTGAGTTCCTGTTTTGAAAATCCTACTTGTCTAACTATTATGCTGATATAATGGTTTCAATATATTTTGAGTCACTGACCTGACACAAGTTTGCAGATCAGGATTTTTACATTTTCTCTCATTATACTTGTGTGTTTGTTACAGTTCATTGACTAAGAAAGTATAAAGCTGTCTCGATTTATTAAAAACGTTGTGCAGATACATATCTATTTCATGTTAAGTAAGCTATATCCGACATAAGGCTGAGGCAACATGCTGAGGCTGTGTTCGCATGTAGGAGCAGATACCCAGTGCTTGGACAACGTTCCAAATGTTCTCTGAGAAGGGAAGCCTGAAAGCTGTTAATGGCCAATCACCACCCACCAAAATATATTTATACTAATGACACTAGTTGAACATTTGTGAATATTTTATCAGAGGCAAAGCTCTTTTAAATCGGCCACACAAAGTGAATTTAGTGTGTTGTATTTCAAAGGTTTTTATTGTTGTCTTTGTCTCTCTACGGGGACGGACAGTGAGTGAAATCCATCATTTTGAAGGGAAATCTCTAGAATTGAATGCAGAAGACATAAAGAACATGACTACAATTTAACTATCCCATACTCACTTTGGCCTACTCAAACTATGACAATTTAAGCAATTACAAACAATCAAATGCAGCTGCAGTGGCAGGACACATTCTTACAGGACAGCCTTTGTCCTGCAGGGCAGGATTTGTGTTTGAGCAGAGAAACGAATTGGCTGGATATGACTTAAAATTACTTCAATACTATATTTGACATTGTTCATATTACTTTGTGCTGAGGCTGTTTTCAGGTGCCATCAGCTGAATGGAGCCCAGAGCAGCTGAAATGTATGATATAGCTTTCCCTGTCAGATCAAGTTATGTGTTAGATGGTGTTAGCTAAAGTTCTGCCCCTTGTGCTCCTGGCAACCAGCTTGTCTATCTTGGTCCCTTGTCTTGGGTTATACAAGGATAGGTGGGCAGCACTAAATGGGGAGTCATAGAGAAAAGTCTAACCCAAGGAGTGTGAGGCTGGAGATCCCCTATCACAATGGGCTATAAACTATGCTGCATCATGAGCTGTGAGTACCTTTGAATACAAGAACATCCCTTAAGGATGAGAGATTTAGGAAGATACTGTACATTTAACTAATTTTGGACTAATTTAGCATCTTGCTAAAGAGTTATGTTCTGCACCACCTCAAATGGATTGTTTTGCCATCTAGTTGGAGTAGATAAGAATATTTTTATTTCATTTATTCTTTTGCTTATTGCCATTTTTATGGAAAGACTATTTTTTTCTAATATGAATACACCTGGACTTTTAATTTTTTTGTACTGGACTGGAGAAGAGAGTGTATGGAGTGTTCAACACTGGTGTGGGGACTGTAGTGTAGGAAGGGCTAGTAAAATCTGGTTTCCACTTTGATCTAGAAGGGGTAAAGTGAGTAAACAGGACTTCACTCCTAGGCTATGCCTGAATTTGTGAAACATAGGATTCTTGAAATATTTATAATATAAATATTCAGAGCACTGAGTTGGTTTTAAAACCTTCCCTTCCTGTGTCTGCTCTTGTGCCTCTGGATTTGTCTGGCTAGCCTTGGGCTCCCTTCAGAAGACACTTACTTGATTTCATATTCTTAAGCCCCAATGATGGTTCCTCAGTCCTACACTGGTCTTTTACAGACTTTTTGTGCTACCTATGAAAAGTTACTCCTTGGGAGGGGCATGGAAGTTGTTAACTCACCTTTCCAGCTTGTAGCAGCACACGATCCAACTGGTGAAAGTAGACCGTGCAATGGAGTTCTCCTATGTTACATAAGAACTATTTACCCAGCTGGAGCAAGAATTCCAGTCTACTTATGGAACAGCAGTTTGGAACTATGTCCTAAACCACTACTGTTCATGGGGGCAATTGCATTATTAACCCCTTGACGCCGACGTAACACAAATATGCGGCCTCACGGACCTGGGCTTTTTTCCGTGGGGCCGCATATTTGCGTACCTGTCTTTGTGCTGGGAGCGCGCCGCTCGGCGCGCTCCCAGCACCAAGACCGTGGTGTCACTGAGAGCCCCGGGTCCCGTTCTAACGATCGGGACCCGGGACTCCCGATTCCGGGTCACGTGATCGCTGTGACAGCCTCTGATTGGCTATCACAGTGATCACTCACTGTGCAGCCCGGCCCCCTTGTTTTCTCTCTCTCTATGAATGGAGAAGAGAGATACATTGTATCTCTCGAACTCCTGACATAGAGAAATAAAAAAAAAGTTTGTAAAAAAAAAAAAAAAAGATAAATAAATATTAAAAAATAAAAGAAAAAATAAAGAAAAATACCTAGATCAAGGTTTGATCTAGTTCAGTACCAGGGTTAGTGTTTGGGTCAAGGTCAGGGTCAAAAGGTCAGGGTCAAAGGTCAGGGTCAAGGGCAAAGGTCAGGGTCAAAGGTCAGGATTTTAAAAAAAAATTGGTATCAGTGTCAGTTAGTGTTAATGTCAATGTCAGTGACAGTGTGTTTTATATATAAAAAAAAAGACAAAAACAAAATGCGCACTGTTGTTTCTGGACTGTACTACGGGTACAAACAACAAATAACATACACATATATGGTATCGCTGCGATCGTCAAGAACTGGAGAATGTATTTTGGGTTGTTCTTTGGTGGTAGGTTATGATCGTAACAAGAAACACACAGTTAAATTTAAAAAAATGATTTTTTTTACTATTTTGGCCCAGTTTTCCTTTTAATAAAAAAAAAATTAGCAGCTATCCATGACCATTTACCACCAAATGAAAGCCCAATTTGTCCTGAAAAAAACAAGGTATAATCCACCTGGATGTACAAAGTAGTTGTGACGATATGTACGGTTTTACTAACACGTCAACGTTGCAGAATTGTGCTTAGGCATTTAGATTTGTTTTACCCTTAGGCGTGAAGGGGTTAAGGAATTTCAGATTTGTTTTACTGACTTCGATTGTGGGCAACATATTTTTAAAGACTAAATAATTTTAGTTTGCCCTGGAGCTGAGAATTTGGAATTGTTTGTCTTTCATTGGCATCCAGAAGCAGGGCTTTTAATTTATTTCCCAGATCATCATTGCTATAATTAAAGGTATAAGAATTGTTGTTTTTTTGTATTGTCTGCATAACTGCCATTCTGTATATGTTTTTGTATTATGTTCAGTTTGTGTTAACTGAAGAATAGAAATTCTTTTGTTTTTGGTTGTTGTCTTTTGCCAAGTTGGGCTAGACAATGTTTTCTGCTACATTATTGTATGTATGTTTGTGTTGTGCTGTTACCCATGCTTAATTTGTATTTAGGCATGGCACAGGACCCCTTATGGCTAAGTCCTGCCATTTGGATTCCTGGAAACCAGCCTGTCTATCTTTGTACCTTGTCCTAACTTATATAAGGACAGGTGGTGTAAGCAATGAAACCATAAAGAGAAGTATATTGCTGGAGATCCTTTATCACAATGGGCTATATATTATGCTGCACAATGAGCTATGATGTGAAGACTAAAGCTGTTAGATATTTTTAATTCAGCCTGCGAGATGAATGAAAAATATGTAACAGAATCCACAATTCACACTAACAGTGCAGAGGAACAAATGAAGGGGTTATTGTGTTCTGACAGCTGCCACTAATTGGATGCAGCCACTGTCTGGTCAACAATTTTTAGCCTGACTCCTTTGAGTTTTTAATCAAATCATTTTGGACTGCAGGAGTCCAAGACAGCCTTTGTTAGGAAACAGACAGTATTTGCTCAGTGTATGACCAGCTTAAGTTTTTATTATCTGAACCCAGCTGGCCACTGTGTTATGGAAGAGAGGGAAGTGAGTGCGAAGAACTTCACTCATAGGCTATACTTGGGTTATGAGACATGGGATCCTTGAAATTTGTACAGACAACCAGTGAAAAACCAACATATAGAGTGAGGGAGCTCGCCTTCAATGACTGGAACCTGTGTTCATGTTAATTGAGGTAGTTGTAACTGTAGATTTTGTGCCTAATACAACTGAGCAGTACCCAGTGACCATTGATGTGGTGTTCCCATTCCTATGCACAAGGGTGGCTGGGTCCACCACCCATCCACATCTGGAACGGTAGGTAGAAATTGAAAAAAGGTTTAGAATTTAATTGGGGATTAGGACTATTTTTACTGTTGCACCTCTATAGCCTATTGTAATCCTCAGGTTTCTGCAGGTAGAGGTTATGTTATGGGAAACCCAGATTTGCTCAAGTTTTCATATATGCCAAAGGGGCCCAGAGCACTGTTTTTTGAAAGATAACATTGTCAAGAAAATCTCCATGTATTCCTGAGATGAGCAGTTCCTGCCTGCAGGAGTTAGTCCTTAAATTGGTTTTTAATCTGCTATGCTCAGGCAGCTTCATTAGAAAGCACCACCATGAAAGTGTCATTGGCAGTCACCTTCTTTCTATGCTGATAGCCAAATTGGGAACTGTGTGTTCCAGTGTGCATGAGGCATGTTCTCAGCAAACTAGAGTCTCTCTTTTAGCCTTAGCGACCAACCTTTTTTTTTTGTCAGTTGTTCAACGAATTAAGTACTTAAAACATTGCCTAGTTCATACTGTGCGATAAATAGCTAGATCACAAACTGTAATTCATATATTT